ACCACACACACAGAGAGAATTCTCAATATGCTTCATGTTAACATCATATATTATTCGCCTATTTCTTTTTTCTTCTTTCTTTCTTTTTCAGTATCCTGTTTTAAAATCAACAGGAAACTAAGTTAATTTGTAATGCGTAAATTTTCAGATTAAATTGTATTAAGGAAATACAATAGTCGTTAATTAGTGCTAGCAGTTGGACAGAAAGAAACTGAACTAGGGATATAAGTCAGCCTATATATACATATAATTTTCAGATTAGATTATATCATAATATTCTTAATACATTCGTTTTTTCTGTTACATTCTCTATTTATTTAACTACCCGTTATACTGTTTAGCAAATAGACTGACCTTCCTTTTAATTATGATCATTACCAACATTATCGCGTACAACATTCACATCTCTTGAGAATATATACTTGTCCTTATGATTCTTTCTTTCCTTCATTATATTTGCATATAATTACTAAGGACAAGCAAAATAAAAGAACCTACAATGATTCGGTATAATTTAGCATGAAGTGTGACTCAAAATCAACTGCCAAGAAAAGTTAAACAGGTTGAAACAATATGAAATAGGAGGTCGAGATTTTAAATAATAATCATGAGGATAAATGAAGGAGAAAAATCGGAACACTCATCCAGAAATTTAGTATACCACTGAATAGACAGAGTTGAACAGTTTACGACGTAAATTCTCTGTGTAAAATATGTTGATTCTGACAAGGTTCAACATGATTTCCATGAGTACAGAAAATATAATGTAATATACTGTTTTCAAATGTACCGGTGTAATTTGGTATTACATCTCTTAATTATAGTATGGTGAAAACAGAGTGACCTATCCCGAAATTCAAGGTGATTTAATCAGCAGAAGTAAAGTATGGTGAAGTCTATGATATGATTAATGCAGCTAATGTGGGTGGTTTCTTCGGCACAATTCTTCCGATAATCTTTATGAATTAAAAATTTTATTCGACTAGTTTGTTAAAAAGAAACGTCTTAGATTTATTTATTCCCCGAATATAAGAACAACAAAGTTCAGCGAAGAGTCTCTTTTCGGCGAATTCATTCAATTAGCTGTACAATCGCATTTATATATAATTATTCTCTGTGTATGCACATTAAGACTGTCAAACAAAAATAAAATAAAAATTAGTTAGGGTTACTGTTTATATATGTGTAAAATTTGGGCACAGTGGTAGTAAGTAATTCCATATTGGTTTGTTTATTAGATGTATCACACAGTGAAACAAACTCACTCAATTAAAAACAAGCTTTGTCGGTTAAAGGATTCTGTAGAGCCTTTAAAACAAAACAATTTAGTTTATCTAATACCCTGCTGCAATGATTGTTAGGTCAAATACATAGGTCAAACTAGTAGAACAGGGGCAGTCAGACTAGCCGAACATAAAAACCTAGCTAAATCTAGATTGGTTGACCCAAATAAGATAAGAAATCTAGAGAATAGTTCAGCTAGAGCACTACACGCAATCACACACAATCATACAATAGGATGGGATAGGATGACAGTTTTAGAATCGAATGTCACAGGGTGAAGGGAGAGATTGATAACGACAGATTTGTTTATGGAATCAACTGCAAATACATGTAATAGGAATGATTCATCACCTGTCCCTGATATCTGGAAAATTCTACTACCCCAATGACGACAAATAGAAGACAAAGAAAACTATAAAACTCAAGTTTCAAAGTCGTGTGATTACAATCGATATGATGATAAACAATAAATTGTGTTCGAAACTGTGTCATCCAGTAAATAATACTGTTTCACTGTGTGAAATATCTAATAAACAAACTAATAGGGTTACTGTTTACGTCATCGAAATGTTTCTAAAATGTGATGATTAATCATTATTTTAACTAAGGGGTGAAGATTGGTAAGTACTGACAAGGATCGCGTAATATGAAGTACGATGTTAATGGGGATGCATGTCCAAAAAACAAATTATTTAATAGGCAGAAAAAGTAAACAAAGGGTTGTCTAAGAAGATGTTACTAAGATGCCACACAAAATTATTATCAGGTTCCGCTTTCGATCACTGGGTACCCAACTCTAGAAGTCTGTCAGCTCACCATGAATTTTTTTATTTCACTTTCACTGAGACTTATACAAGTATAATTTCTACAAGTATTCTTTTTTCGGTCAGATGTTGATCTGACTTCATACAAAATTATGGGTTAACTTTGAAAGAAGAAAGAAAAGAGACAACATACCAAACGGAATAAAGTGATGATGAATTTACTGTACGCAATCACTTTAAAATGATACCGAACCGTTTTGAATATTTCCCTACACTGGTTAAATTTTTATAACCATAATTCCACTTAGATATACAGTAGCATTTCGTACCTTATATTAATTGTTTTGTTTCTTTGGTGACTCAGTGATAGAACGCAAATATGCATGTTTCGATTCCTTGTCAGCATATTCCTAAGGCTCATCTAGCTTTTAATAAGTCTAGTAGATCGGGAAAGTTTGGTGTGAGGCTACCGACCCTATCTTATGTAAAATATCACCCCTTCAGAAAACTGAAAGCCTAAAGCTTGAAGTCACAGGTTCCGTTGGAAAAGTGAAGGAATGGATTCCTGAGTATCTGTTTTGAATCAAAATACTTCTGACTCCGTTGTCGGATTTCCGGAAACCTGATTTTAGTGAATGTAGCAAGTAGATCCATTTAAACCTTCATGAAACAATACATTTATCAACTTGAACATTTCCATTGAGTCATATAAGAAATGGCTTTCAGCGATAGTATTCTCAAGCCGTACAAACACATATATGTAGTAAATTGTCTTAGCAACAAAATCAATATTTTTAATATTCAAGTATTGGTTTGTAGGGATTTAGTTGATTGGTTACAGGATTTCATCATGAGCTGACATCGGTTAGAGAACCGTTGGAAAACCTTTGAGTACTGGACAACTGCTTCGTCAGTCTAGTTTGTGACTCTTCAGCAGTACGCACCCACCGCCACGGTTTGAACCTAGTACCTTCTGGTTAGATGGCGAGCTCGTATACCATTAAGCCACTGGGACGCGATCCAAACGACTTCTTACTGGAAGTCGTGAGCAGTAGGGTGCAGCAGGTCGGGTGTGAGGACAAATACTCACCGGAAACATTGGCTAGCGGTTGCGCTATATCGTGAATTGGCACAAGTTGGAATTCATAGGCTGGCCATTGGATCGGGTCCCAGTGGCTTAATGGTATACGAGCTCGCTAGACTTGTAACCAGAAGGTCCTGTGTCCGAATCCTGGTGGGTGCGTACTGATGAAGAGTCCCACGGTAGGATAGACGAAACAGTTGTCTAGGTTTTCCACTGGTTGTCTAACGAATTTCAGCTCATGATGAATTCCTGTAACCATTATTTTTAAAGATTTGTCATTAGAATTGTAAAATTTAGATAACAAATTTGGTTGATGGGTTAGAAACTGAAACAAGATTAAATAAACAGGTTGAGTGATGCGATCTAATTGATGGGGTTGAGTAGATCTCAGATAAAATTAAAATTGAAAGACGTCAAGTTAACAGTCGTGGTAATAAAGGGTAGAGATTTAATAAGGGGTGGAGAAAAACATTATACAATTAGGAAACAAACAAGCAAAAAAAAGACGAAACAGATAATTACGTATTTGATGCTATGATAGGTTAGGTCCATGGTAGATTTACTAACTGAACAAATCTCTTTTTTATGCTGAGTTCATGTTTTAATATATGAATTGTCATTGCTTCTGTGGTTTGAAGAAGTTTGATTCGTACTCTTTCAGCAGCATTCCTACGTATTCTGTAGATGACTTTGAGGTTACTTCCTGTGATCCTTGGTGTCCTGATTCGATGAGGTGTCCCAGAATAGGGCTTTGGGGGGAGACCTTTATTCACTCTTACAAAACCTTGAGGGTAAATGTTCGATGATACGTGTGGATAGCAAACGCTAGGTGCGTCCGACATACTTTATCTTATATCGATTTTATTCAAATGTCCAGTCAGCTTTTACTCATGTATATAAATGAAGCAAGCAAGTTATGCGTGTACCCTGATATGATTATGGGCTATAATTTGTGCTGGAAACGTCATTAGTAAATATTACTGTATAACACTGTGTGGTTTTATCAGGAGAAAATTTTATCCATAATGGAGTTATATCCTGCCACAGTGTCCAAGATTTATCCTTATACCAATAGCTCCACGCAGGCAGATGAAATGGTAGATGCACACTGATTTAGCTATAAAAATATTTTTTTTGATTACAGCTTGATTCCACACCATATTTTTGGTACAAGTATGGAATTTTCAGCATGTGATATCGATAGCCCAAATTTTGCAGGCCGACCATACATATCAGGTGTGCGTCGGCAGGGAATCGAACCTTGGACCATATGCATGGTCGGCGAGAGTCCTAATCACTGAGCCACCGACGCACAATTAAATTTCAGTCAGTAACCCTAACAGAATATTCATGATTCACGCTCCTAATTTGTCAACAATCATTTGTCAATATCAGTCCTTTTAATGTGGGGATCACTAACTAAGATGATTACAGTAACAATTATATATATATATATATATATATATATATATATATATATATACAGATATTTTGCATAATTTCGTCCATTCGACTCTGAGTATTTAATTGTACAGTTTGAATATCCTCTAGCTTTCAATTAATTAAATAAAGTGTGTTAACCTTATGCCCTTTCATATCAAAAATAGATTCTTCTTCTGTTGACCAAATCCCATAAAGTAAATTGCTACTACATCAGCCTACTAAACTGGTTATACCTCCTTCCTACGCGTCAGCCAACTCAGATATTCCTTTGCAAGTAAATAATCTATGCCAAGAAGATACCATTTTTTAGTAGCTAGTACCGAACAGAGTTTCTGGAATTTGTTTTTGTGACTGGTCATTATAATTTAAATCATATTCAGTGAGTAAAATTACCATCTAAGTTTGGTGTTTCTCTTTACTTAAAGGCATCAACGCTGGTCATATCAGAAGTGAAGGAAAATTTGCTGATCTTCCTTGTTGTGGCATATCGTGTTACAATACACCTGCATGTTTAGCATACTACAGTCCTGTGTGCCAATCAGAAGTAGACAAAAAGATAACATTAGAGGATAAAATCTGCATGGATGGTAAGCAACTTTTACATAATTTTACATAAACTGCAGGTAAAAAGAAGTTTTTTTTCAATTACTCATAATTGTAATTTGATATCAGATAACTCGTTATATTTGTTAACAGTAATTCATGGTTCACAAAACAGGTCAAATTTCACCACGCTCCATATTTTCTGCTTTACTGTGTGAACTGATTCAAAGATTATCTATAACTTAATAAAGTTCCGGTTACTATACACAGACACATTGATCACCCTCAAACTAATCTGGAAATCTTCGTCACTCAGCATAAACAACAAAATTCGGATTTTCAATACAAACGTCAAGTGAGTTCTTCTATACGGATCAGAAACTTGGCAGACAGGTCACAAAGAATATTTCTAACAGGCTATTGCAGACCAGACCTTTATCAACAACTGTCTTCACTCTATGCTGAAGATCAGATGGCAGGGCCGAAAAGAATCACCAACAAGAAACTGTGGGAAGAAACAAAACAAGAACCAATCGCCAATCAACAAATATGCAGGAGAAAGTGGACTGAGATGGAACGGACACTCACTGAGGAGTAGGGCGCTGGGTGACATCGCGCGCGCATCAGGCCATTGCTCGAGTGGAACCAGGCTGAAAGGGAAGCGGCGAGTGGGACGTCAGTGCAAGGGTGGGTGACATGGAGGAGATCGTGTGAAGAGGAGTTGAAAGAGTATAGACTAACATGGATGTAGGTGAAAAGTACAGCAGAAGGAAGACAGAAGCAAGTGGAGAGGAGCAATTGAAGCCCTATTTTCCACTAGGAACCCAAGGGAACAATAATAATATAATATATAACTATACACTGATCTTTTTGTATGTGATATGTTTGTCTGATTCTTGTTACGAAAAGATGAACTGAAGATCACACCACATTTATTAGTCTTGTTGTCATAAGTTCGAAGTGAATATCATCTTAAGATTTAGAATTGATTGTTCTACCATAAAAAGTACGGTAGTGTCTGACCCTTCTTGATAAAACTCACTACAATGACATTAAGAATCGTATTTGGAATTATCTACATCACATTCACTCAAGGGTTTTTAAAAACATCAAGAATTCTTTCTACTCCACTATCAACCAAGTGATTTCAAGCCTAAATGAACAAAACTGTTTTTGTCATTTATATTCGTGTAGAAAAGTACTTCAAAGAACCCTCTATATTTGCTCTTTTAGTGATGAAAACGGAACCTAATGAATGACACTTAATCATACTATTAGTCCACTTATTTTGAGAGAATTCTTCAAACGCTGTCAGAGAGAGAGAGAGAGAGAGAAAGAGATTCACTCTTTCATTACCACTAAGAAAACAAAGACGCATAAAGGCTTCCGTGTGAAATCAAACATGATAAGCCTACTGACAAAAATTATTTTTTGTAATTATTTTACTTTATTCTATTATGGATGAGCTGAGTATTGGACATAAGGCAGAGAAATATATTATCTGAAATAATGTGTGATTTACCTGTTTCGCATCAAAGAAGTGCCACGATAATCATTCACCCCATTAATGTGGAACATTTAGCCATAGATGAAAAAAAAACAAGGTTGACGGTAATAAAACTTGAGGGATATTAACTTTCCATTTTGCTCATTCGTATGCTTTTAGCAGCTCTTTTGCTAAGGGTTTTCTATAATTACGCTAAAAAATAGCTTTTTGTTACGAATTCAGAATACTGTAACATTAAATATGACAATAATGTAACAGTGAGTTTACTTTACTAATTATTTCTGTTTCCTGAATTTAGATTTATTCTACAACTTTCCAGTGTTGTTCGGATGGTATTTTTGTATATTGATGAGTGCTGTTTAGGATTTTCAGGACTTTTTTTTGGTCAGTATTTTCATTGATGATGATAAAGATATCATCTATAAACTGCTTGTTAACTTCTGACCATTTGACTGCTAGTGACAGAATATCTGATTCAAGCAGTTGTTGAATGATCGATGAGTTGGAGAACCCATTGATACTTCATCTTTCTGTTAGTATATTTTCCACCGAATAAACACTGAGTGATCACCCCGCTTTGAGGTATAGGTTTTTTGATAAACTTGAGGTGAACCAACACTCAGATTATTTGAGTTGATCAACTCACATAAGCACCACACAGTTTTTGTTAAGTGGACATCGGTGAATGAGGAAGCTACATCCAACGTAGTAAATGTTGACGCAGATATATTCACTTGCATTATCGAATCCACGAATTCTAACGTATTCCTTTGGGAGTACTTCGTCACTAGCTTTTTTTACAAGTCCTATACTTTCAAGGTGCATATTACATTGATGCGTTTAATACAACTAAATATCAGTAACTACATTTGCTTTTTTTGTCTCAAACAGGCAACACGTATCATATATCAATTATACCAGAATTTGATTTTCAAAAAGGTGTATTCATGTGCCATTTGAAGAAAACCAACTACTCACTTGGCTTTCGATTTAAACTCTCTATAGATTTGTTCAAATTAATTCATCAAAAGAGTTTTCAAAGACAAGTATTCAAGGAAACAGAATTATCAATCGAAAGTGAACATGAAATTAAAAGTCTCGACCCATATGACTTAAACATCGATGCACTGAGAATTGAAATTCCCAATACTAAAAGTGAAGAAAATACATATGACAGCCTCAAAGACATCATACTTCTGGGACGAAGAAATGAGACACTCCAAGGTATGTTGTGAATATTGTAAAGGAAACCTGTATAGCTATGTCAGTTTACTGAAAATAATGATGAGTCAATTGAGAATTTGTAAATAGTCTGTTCGTATTAGCCAGAATAATCCGCAAATTGATGCACATTATAAAAAAATCCGTTATACGGAGTCCATTCTCCTAATTATATTTCTATAGTATCATTATTATCCTCTCAGATTCCAAGTGGAACCAAATAAGACTGCTGCAGGAGCTCCTGCAGCAGTCTTATGTGGTCGGCTCCACAAATATGCGCAGGCTTTCGCTTCATTCTTACACGAACCGTGTTATAACTTTGTTGCAAATTTGTCATAACTGAACAGAATTGAATAAGTCCGTCGCTAATTATTTATCTCTGCTCGCGTTAGTAACTATAATGGTAGTGAACTTGACTGACACACTAATACGTTTATTTGTCCTTATGCCATCCAATTCACTGAGCTACACAAATATCGAAAGGCAAAGGCCGGCCTGAGACTGTAAGGTATTGTATCATACTGTACTATGTAGTTTAAGAAACAACACATGATATTTGTACACTATCTTAACCATAATAAGGTTGGCTCACAACCGTGAGAATGTATTGATCTTATCGGATGGAAATGTTTATCCTGATTGGTTGATGATCAGACGAAGATCAGAGTGAGACAAAAGAAGAATTGGTCACACACTAAACCACAATATGCGTGAGAAATGATACATTAACATAGTAACTATATCTTATGATTCCTGGGAATGGATGATATACTATTTTATGCTGGGTCCTATCAACCGGCCCTTTCTCACCCCCTGAACCTCGCACTACTCAACTCTTTCCATTTATAGATGTGCAGCATAATGCCACTCAACAGTTTCTTCAGTTTATGTCCAATCTATCTGCACATCCTTTGGTATGTTTTTTGAGTGATAGACTCTTAGTTGGTTGGCAGCCAGAATTCCTTGTTGGTTTTCCTCGCAAAGAAGTCACGTCAGAATTGGATAATATAAAACATTGTTTTGTCCAATTTGCAATTGTTTGGTATAAATACTAATTTCTAAACTCGGAAGTTGGTAGGTTTTATTCATCCGTTAAGAAATTTATAACTTTTAAAGACAACAATTTCTCGAAATAAATCTTTTTGCTAATATTAATATATCAAGAAAATAAATAATAAATAATAATTTCTCCTTCACGTTCCCAGTGGAACATAGGGCTTCAAGCTGCTGGCTTGGAGTTTCTGTAGTAGTGTTTATTTTACAGGATGGGGTTGCTAGCCTCATGCCCAACCTTTCCTCTTTACCAGCATTATTTCTGGCTTAGCGAGGTAAAGGAGTGCGTCTGTGGCCGGGGATCGAACCCTGGACCATGTGCACGGTCGGCGAGTGTCCTAACCGCTATGCCACCAACGCACTCAAGAAAATAAAGCTGATAGAAAATTCAGAAGTTTGTAAAATCTAATATTTTAAAAATATTTATAATTATGCCTATACAAGTTTGAACAAAGCGTGAACGGATAAATAAACAGGGCAACAGACCAGGGTTTAAGTGACCAGTTTTATTCCATTTTTATTCTTTTCAACATTCTCTATCCTGCAATGCCTTAATATAAGTTTATATCTGCATAAGCAAAATATAGGACAAAATTCAAGACAGGCAAAAGTAGTCCTAGCTTAGATAGCAAATGAAGTAACTGGTTTTTACAGGCGTCTACATACCAAAATAAGACAAAAATAACAAGTGGAACACTTTTTAAAATAAGGAACTGTAGAGATATAAAAGTGTTTTTGCAAATCATTTGACTGGGAAGGCAAACAACCTGAAAATCCTGACTGCAATTGGTGCTACGAATTTTTGGTTAATAATACAATTTACAATTTATTTCTAGTGTTTGTAAAGATATGTAGGCGTAAAACCAACAATTCTATAGGAGAAGCAAAGAAGACAGGACCTTGAGTGAAAATAGGGACAGAAGTAGTAAAAATACCTACAATAATAGTACAATAGTACTTTTATTCCGAACAAGGTGCATACAATGCACACAGAAGTTTCATAGGAGTTTATTGACTGAGATTTTCTCTTCGTCTAGGATCTTCAAATAAAAGATTGACAGTAGATTGTGTGACACAGTTCTATCTAACCTAAAACCAGAAACCACTCCATTATGATAACTTATCTTGTTCTCTTTGGAGAAATAAACGATATTTTTTTGAATGCCAACTATAAAAAGTTCAGGAGTACACTTTGTGAACCAATAATACCTCATAGGAACAGTTATATCATGGATTGGGATAAGCTGCCATCTAATGTAATGCTTTTTCTCGAGTTTATAAAAAACTTGCAAATGTTTTAAATTTTCTCCAGAGTAAACGAGACTATTAGAGGTAATACTCAAATAGATATAAACAAACCAAGAAAAAGAAATTATATGCAGTATACTGATGGAGGTTTTTGATAGCCCGAATTTTAAGTAGGCCGCTAAACAACAACAAACAGCAGTCACTATGCATGGAAGAAATTTGAAGGAGGTCACTTCTTTTGCTTATTTAAACAGCATAGTTTCAAATAAAGATGGTACTGATGAGAACATCAAACCCAACAAGGATCAGAAGGGGGAAAACAGTACATATCTCAACTACACTGAATTCATTGTGGAAATCACTTATCATTGGGAACAATATTGGATTTTCAACCTAATGTTAAATGAATGCTTCTATATGGTTTAGAGATTTTCAACACGCATCAGCAAAAGTATTTCTAACAGATCAATGCAGACTTTTATGAGTACCTGCCTCTTGTGGCTGGATACTGAAGATTGGATGGTCAGAAAGGATTAGCAACAAGGAATTCCGGGAACAAATGCGCTAAGAAATTATTGCACAAAATATCTGCTGAAAAAAAGAAGATGGATCGAAAAAACTGAGGAGACTGCTGAGTGAAATCGCGCGCTGAGAAGAGCCTGAATGGGAAATGAACAGTCTATCGTCGCTCTTAGGGTGATATGGAAGAGATAGTGTGTCTAGACTTAAATCCAGATGAAAGAGACTGCAGAGAAGACAGCATCGGTGGCACAACGGTTAGGACTCTCGTCAACCATGCACACTGTTCGGGGTTCGATCCCCTGCCGACGCACATCTAATAACAATGGTTGGCCTACGAAATCGGGCTACCGATATCACATGCTGGAAATTCCATACCAAAAAACAGTGTGGAATCAAACCATAATCAAAAAATAATTTTAAAAAATATAAAATATAGAGATTTTCTGTAGAAGTCATATATTCCACTCGGCATCAAGGGGAATAGAAATAAATAATCACACTCCTGTAGGTTCACAGTGATTTACCAGCCTTTTGGTTAAATAAAGTGCTAGACAATAGGTTGTACGCTTCATTTATTCGTTAGATTCTTCACTAGCATTCTGAAACATTAGTGAGATATTGAATAATAACACAGTGTTCTCTCGAGATCAGATTATTGCTTCTAGTGGTTCGAAATATCTATTAAGACTAATAAATTCTGTGAGTGAGGATCGAGATTTCTGTGGCACAAAGCTTTACTTTCTAGTTTATAAACAGTTCGCCCATTGCAACTGTTTTGTCTAGTATTTGTCCATAACAACTAACATTACAGCATGCATTAACCGATAAAACCGAAAAATCCACTTATTCATTCGGTGTGGTCATTTGATGATTATATTTTTATTATTACACTATACACAGATTTCCAATTCTCCATTCACCAAATTCCAAAGTCAACTAATATTCAAGACTACAAACCACCTGTAGAACGTGCTTTACATACCGATTCAGCTTTCACAACCATACAAAGCAGTAAACCGCATGCATTCAGTTCAGTCAATTGGAAAAATGAAGGCTGTGACTTAAATGTTTATGAAAATATCCTACCAACAAAAGAGTTTTCCGATTTTCTAGCTAAAGGTCAACCAGTTGACATTTATGCAATCTCAAATACCAACAGAAATGCAATAAATTCAGTATTAAGTCAAGGCGACAATGTTTATTTAGATAAACCGCACAGCTTTCGACTAAACAATAAACAAACCAGTTTGCCAAGTGTGAATATCAAACTGTCAGGTAAATATTAAATAAATGTATGCATAGTTTATTCCCGAAATATGTAAGAAATAATACTTCTGTTTTTAGGTTGATTTTTATAATATTTTTTTCACAATCTACATCATCCTCACATAAAGGAGTCTTCATAAGGAAATTAATCACAGACTGTTATTTTTAACAGTTGTGTGAATTTTCAAGTATTGGTTTTGTAAGGATTTTGTTTGATTGCATGAAGGATTTAATCATGAGCTGACATCAGTTAGAGAACCACTGGAAAAACTAGGAGTACTGGACAGCTGTTTCGTCCTAGTTTGGGACTCTTCAGCGGTACGCACCCACCGAGATTCGAACCTAGGACCTTCTCCTTACTCCCAGTACTCCCAGGTTTTCCAGTGGTTCTCTAACTGATGTCAGCTGATGATTAAATCCTCCATACAATTCTGTGAATATTTCAAATAATAATAATTTGCTTTATTCCAAAACAGTACTTGTGGTACAGAATGGAATCCTCAGGATTTTACTACAGTATTGCATCCAGTTAGTACATTGACAATAAATACAGTTCTTCACAGATTAAGGGTAATCTCGGTTAGCTATGACAACAACCTACTGGCATGTCGGTAGCAAAGCCGACATTGAACAGAGTTTTTGAAGGTGTTAGAAAAGTAGATGCCAGCATATTTACTGGTGTAAGCGGTAACAAAAGATCGGGATATACAGAGTGTGAGAGAACGAAGAAGAATGTTTTAAGTAGAGTTCGTAAGGAAGAAAGAAATAAAGCAGCACATAACAGAAACAAATGAAAGGGAAAAGAAAGAAAGAAAACGTTGTACCTATAAATGATATGAGTTGGAAAGACGAGATCCAGTTGTTCTACTGACTATTTAATAAGTTATAGGTATCACGCCTAATGCTTATTATATCGCACAGAACGCAAGCTAAGTAGGGTATGGTTGAGTTTTTATACTTGCTAGTGTAAGCATATAGTTTTCTATATAGGCTTCTGGTTTTGCCTGATGAGATACAAAGAAGAGTTGTGAATGAAGAGGGTGGTGTGAGTTGGATAGAATGGATTTAGCCCATTTTTTCACATGAGTCCAAGTGCCTGTCGACTAGAATATTGACAAGCTGGTTAAGTGGCACGTTGCTTACCCTGTTACCCTGTTAACAGCCTTTAATATCCTGCGTAATAAGGTATAGTCTTTCTTCAGTAACCCTGGAAAAACTCTGGGGAAATAATACAGAATAATAGGCAGGATGCAAGAGTTAACGACTTGCAGGAGTTAGGCTTGGGTTATACCAGAATGTCTTAACTTTTTGATGTAGAAGGTAAGACGGAATATTTTCTTAGAAATCACCAAGATATGAGACAACCAGGAAAGATCAGCAGATAGAATGACGCCTAGATATTTAATTTCCGGTTTGGTTTCTATTTCAGTACCATCTATGTTGCACATCTCGTAAGTGTTAACCAGTTTGTTTAGGTCAGATTTATGCCTAAAGGTGAAATCGACTGTTTGGAATTTAGAGGGGTTTAAGGTTAGACCGATTTCGATAATGAAACAAGGTCTCACTCTTGGTTAGCTATCAGTATTCACCTAATCTTGATGACATGGAATCTTTATCTGGCTCCATATTAGTCCATAAAATTTGATCTCCTATGAACATCATACGTGGTGACTTGACAGTGGTATTGAAAATCCGAATTTTGTTCAGTATTCTGGACACAGCAGATTTCAACAAGTTTCAGTGTAATAAAGGGCTGCTTCGCTTTACCAATCCTGTCTTTAACATCCTCATCTATACCGTCTTTAGTTGAAACGATGTTGTCTAGATAAGTAGGAGAGGTGACTAACTTTAATTTTCTTCCATTAACTGTGATTGTTGTCGCTTAGATATCTTCATCCCTTCCATCCTCTCCTGTCTTCGTTACTTCTCCTACCAAGTTGTTGGTTTTGCCAGTATAACATTAGACATAAATCGCCCGCGAAGTTATGAATTCATAGAGTCTCTTGACGCGGCTCAACGTATGCACGTCTTCGCACGCTCGACTGTCTGCTGCATGATGCTGTCCACCACAGTTAAGTCATCAGTGATACTGGGTAGCCTTGTCTAACTTCTCTCTTTAACTGAACCATCTTACTGAGCTTTGTTTTGTGAATCACTTTGCATATGACAAGGTTTCATTGCTTCTAATGGAGTTTCTAAAGATTTTCAACACTCCTTAATTTTTGAAAGGGCTGTCAAATAATTTCATGGTCGACTTTAACAAATACCTTTACAAATATGAGTAAGTTAAGGTGTAAAGTTGAATGGAGTCGTATACCGTATTCGATGATGACGCAAAACTTTGTAAACTGATCCGCGTATGTTATGTTTTTACTAAATTCAGCTTTTTCTGGGTGCAGCTTTGAATCCAGAGCATCCTTTTAGCCTCTCCAAGATGATGTGGTTTAATATTTTGGTTGGAGTAGACAGGGACATGATTCTGTGTCATTTCTTCCATACGCTCAAGGTTCCCTTTTTTGAAGGTTTGGCAAGGTGTCCTTTCTTCTAATACATAATCACTCTTCCTTTCTTCTAAAACTTCTATGATCGTAAACTGAGCATATATGTTGACATCTCTGGGTCTGTTTCTACTGTTTTTGGGGATCCCATCTGACTCTACTGCTTTTGAGGCTTTCAGTGGCTTGAAAGCATTCAAGACTTATGTCCAAGCTGAAAGCAGGTGCAGGTTTCTTTCCATATCAGTTTCAGAGAGTTCTAGTGTTCCCCACACACAGGTTTTCTCGACGATGAATGCTGAATATTCCTGAGTTTTTTCATAACTATGGTGGAGGTGTAGGTTTTAGTTTTGTCCTTGAGTTTCTGGGTATTGAACTTGAAGCTTGGTCTACCTCCAGCTTCTTTGAAGGATTTCAACCTGATCTCAAAGGTCTATTGCACTGAATAGTGGTCTCAGCCATCACCTGCTACTCTTCCCGATTTCTTGTCTAGCAGACTTAGTCTCTATTTTCTTGACAGTGAAGTCTCTCTAGCTTTCGGTAAAACCCAGCTCACCTAGTGTATACTCTTGGGATGGTTAAAAATGCTTCTAGTCACTTCATCATGCAGTCTGAGAAGAGTTCTCAGTTCTCATTCATCTCTCTAAGGGCCTCCCGGTTCACGATAAGTTCTGTTTCTATGTTCTCAGCCCCTAGGCTAGCATTTATATCACTCATCAGAATTTTAATTTCACCATCTTAACGGGGTCTTGTTCATTAATGATTGAATTGTCTGTAGAAGTCTTCTTTCTTCTGTAGTGGGTCTAAGTTGATTGCAGGCACATGGAACTGGATAACTGTTACTTTCCTTCCTCCATTATCCTGGAGCAGATTGGCTGCCACCGCATGTGAGCCCTTAGTACCGTGGACGTTATGATGATAGTTACTCTTTTAGTTTTCCTATGTTCGTCATCTGGACAGCAGGAAGAGTTTGCTGACTTTCTAGCTAACCCTTCCATTCCATCCGACATCACAGATTTCTAGCACTTCTACGCCACATGTCCTAATTTCTTTCGTTATCTGAGCAAGCATATCAGCTCTAAACGGTACGAGAACATTCTATGATCCCATACTTATTTTAGCTTTCATCAGGAGAGTACATGTCGACTTGCTGACTTCGCGAAGACCTTCTCTAACAGGTGTCATTTCGCATACCTGATAACAGAGGAATAAGTTTATTATTTTATTATCTTCTATACTCTAAAGTTTCTGTAGCGATTTAACTGATTTTCGGGGGGTAAGATCACTATCCGCACACCTGGCATTTACTCTTATTCTACGCTCGTGACTGGTTTGAAATCTAGTGAACTGGTAAACTAGTAAAGGTTTTACTTCTGGGGGATGCAACACATATATCTATTTTATGTCGAATATTCTATGTAGGAAAGGAAAATGGTTTGCATAATCTTTCGCATGCCTGTAAGTATGTTCTGTGCTAACCATTTAAATTGAGTACTTTCAAGCATGTTTAAAACCTTTCACCCTTATTTTTGGATAATGTAGATATTATCACTTGAAATATCACACGCATTATGAACGCCTTCTTTAGCGTGTTCTCGAAATAAACATTTGTTTCAAACGCAGTTCAGCAAACAAAAAATATATATGTATATATATCTTCAGAAAAACACCATAGCCTATAACTACATTAACAACAACAACAACAACAACAAAAAAGTGAGATAATTTTGTTCAGATAACTGTTATCAGGATGAGTGAGATTTATAGATGCATTACAATTTCACTAAATAAAGTTATGGGCTCATCCCTTTGCAAAATTTTATATATTTTCATCTACAAAATGTATTGTACTGATTTCCTCTTCGTTGTCACAAGCATATGCAAGTCAGTAAGTTATTAAATTCCGACAGTTTTACTAAGAAAATCAGTCGTTATAACATTTATCTCGTGTAAGCTCACTGGCTTTAAGGGGAAAAATTAGTGATGCATAACAGGGAAACGCTTCTCCAACCTCCTTGTTCTGCGTTAAGTTAACTGTTTTAATCCAAATGGTATGCACACTAGTTTTATATAGAATAAACACTGAATTTTCTAATGTACTGGGAGCCTACATGTCTAGAGAGTATTAATAGAATTGTGGGTTAGTACATGAAAAGTTTTAAAGTTAAAATTATGCAAAAATTACACAAGCGGTGATGCCTATTTTCAAAATTAGCCTTAAAAACGTCACCGTCATTCTATTAAAAATATCCAGATAATAGATGTTACGAGTTTCCTGAAATAATTTAAGCGCCAAGCAAAATTAAAGTCATTATAAAATTACTGAAAATAATCTTAGCGTGTTTTAAATTCTCCTGAAGAAGTCTTTTGCTTATACATTGAATCATTCAGTAAGATCCTCATTTGATTATAAGTAATCTTATAATCAGCCATTCAGTGGTATAACGCACACCAACCATGCATGTTGTTCAAGATTTATTTCCCAGCTGGTGCACTTCTTCACCCTATAAAGTC